ATTAAATGAGAAGAGATTTGAGTTTGAAAACCCCATTTAATCTCACATGAACGTCTTAATGCAATAATGTTCATAAGTAGCTATATTGTACTGTAAAGGGATTGTACCAACATCTTGTGCTGAACCAATCGTTCGACATGGTTTTAGAATGGTTTAAAAAAAGTCCTGTTTACTTTGGAACGCACCTTCTTTTTATATTTCTAAAATTATATTTGGCATGCTTGCAAATTTATTCAGTTTTGCATCTCTATTAAGAAATACCACTTCTACTGGGATCTCTTATGACAGCAATTATTTGTTAAGCAACAAAAAACAATTGTTACATAATCAAAAATAATGGTAATTCTTAATTGCAGAATACAGAGCTTGAGTCTAAGCTATTGTGGGTTTTCCATAGAAAATTTTTCTTTTAAAGAATTCTTTGTGTAAAGAACTTTTACAAGAAAAATTTTTCATTTGTGATCATTTTCCAAAGGTTTTTACCAAGTTATATAGAAAGGATATTTGAAGAGTTTTTTTTTAAATGGCAAAATACGTACATTTTTTTGTTTTATTCAAGTTTTGTTTTTTTTTTTTTTTTTTTTTTTGTAAATAAAATAACAATTGACTTACCCCTGAAGTTTCCTGTAATGTTTACAGGAATTTTCGTTTAACATTGATATTTTTATGTTAACGCTGTTTAAGGGAAAAAATCAGCATCAACACTGTTAAGACTCCGCTGTTAACTTTGCCTCACAAATTATAGACAATACGAATTAACGCATAGAACCGCTTTAGCCACCTCATATAACTTATGCACCTTAATACATACATAATGCAATTGCTTTTGTTCCTATTTTATTAATTGGCAACTGGATATTATATAGTAATCGAACAATCGCGGTTACGTGGAGCCTTCCCGACGTAGGGTTTGACGCAACAAAAATAAAATCTTAAAACAAAAAATACAATATTGGAAACACTGCTTACATTTTAACACTTTATTTATTGCCAAAAACACACTTTATATTAATATATAATTTATTTTTTTAAACCAAAAGAAACAGCCATGCGCTCTCTATCTTCGATCCCGACACTGTTAAGTTACAAAAAACCAGCAAATACTGAAAATGTGGGGACGCTTTCTCCCTCTCTCTTTCAGTTTCTTTTTACGGTAGAGATGTAACTATTCACTGTTAAAGCTCACATGTTTCGTGTTCCAAAGTGTTGTTGCTGTTTTATGCAGAGGAACACTTTGTTGTTATGTAGGGCATATGTATGTACTATATCTATTTGCTGCAGGAAAGTTTTGTATAAATGTAACAATTATTCTTTCGCTATATATTAAATATACAACTAAAATAAACTTTCATGTATAAGAATTTCATTTTAATTTTTATTCAATCATAAACCAAACTGGTCCCCCGATAGAAAATCAAAAATGTTGAGTATTTAATCTTCAAAGCTATGTTTCTATTTTAATTTCTGAAAGTATTATTGGCTTGAGCGAGCTAAAAATAAATAAATGAATGAATGTACCCTTTTTCTTCTTCTTCTTCAGTTTTTTTGACAACACTAATATTTCGCTCTAAGGCTTAATATATAACTGAAAATAAATGGTTGCCAACGGCAGATTTGCCAAAATGTCTACGCATAATTTTATTTAGTTATTTATCCTTTGAGTTTTTGCTGAAGGATCATGATTGACCAAAGACTGCCACTGTGCAGTAAACAGTATACATACATACGTATACAAACATTTTCACAAAGTGAAAAAAAAATTAGGCACAATAAATTGAACGGAAGTTGCTGTTTAAAATGAAAAACAAAAATTGTAAAACGGAAGCGACCAAAAATGCACACACAATGATTGCAAGAATAGCAGCCATAGAAGCGGAAGGGCGAGGGGGTGGAGCAGGTCTGGCTAACAGTTTGCTTGTCTGCGGCTATTTTTGCCCATTTTAGCAACAACAGCAACGCAATTTGGCATTACTGTATGCTCCTCTTACTAGCTTGAAATTCCTGAGCCGGGCCATTTGCGTGCTTTACATATTTGTGTGTGTTTCTATATCTGGATGCCTGGACAAAGTTAAATTTTGCTGCAGCCACAATGAACAACAAACAGGCAGCAACTGCTCAACATTCAAAGTGGCAAACAGGGACACACACATACAAGCATATACAAGTAGTATAACGATAGACAGACAGACCCACAGGCAGACAGACAGACAGACAGACAGACAGACATACAGACAGATAGACGCTAGATGGGATACGGACATTGGCGTCGCCGTCGGCGTCGAAATCGGAATACTCGCACAGATTTCAATTTCCATATCGTGTGGCATGTCTGCGCAATGCCGTTAGATTCCTTTCGGCAATTTCCGGTTGCAACTACAAAACAAAAGACAACTAATCGTAACAACAACAAAAGCGACAATAACAAAACAGCGAATTCATCAACCACTGCAAGACATGCATAAACTAACAATGCAAAACAAAATAAAACAGGACAAGAGAAAACAAGACACAACAAGAAAACAGGCAAAACAATGGAGCACAAATGAATGAATGAAATGTAGTTATGTCTGAACAATGACAAAGTCGATGACAGTCGGCCGACAAAAAAAAATAAATAAATAAAAAGAAAAGCACAAATAAAACAACAAATAAAACCGCTTGGCTACGACGCCTCCCGACTATCGAATATCCTGTATCCAATTGACTTAAAATTTTTACGAGCTTTTAAAGCTACTGCTTTTCAAATGTGATACGAAAATATTAACAAACCTTGATCTATAGGATGCCTCTCTGCACACAACTTTTAAATGATTCCGATTTAGACGACTAAAAAACAAGAAAAGAAATCTATTGTCGAGTGGGCTCATATCTTAGAAATAAATAAACAAAAATAAATAAATTTATTTTTTTGTAAGTCCAAGAATTGCAGGAGCTATGGATAAACACCAATAGCGGGGGAGTGGAAGGTGCAACAGAAAAAAATTAACAAACTTAATATGCATAGGGCTTAGGGGAACCTGTATACCAAGTTTGGTTATTCTAGCTATTGTACTTGCTGAGATCCTTGCACTCATACAGACGGACGGACAGTCGGACATGCCTATATCGACTCGCTTTGTCATCCTGACCATGGATATATAGTTTGCGCTTGTGTTTGGATGTATATAGTCTCTGCCACATAATTTCTGTGTGTTACATACATTCGCACTAAACTAATATACACTTTTACCTTTTGGAGTACAGGGTATAGCAACTGCAATCAATTGAATACTTGCTCTCTTGCATTTTAACATTGCTTTAGGAAAGTATTGTACTCTTACGAATTCTTTCGATGGAATTAAGATATTTAGTTTTAGTACTTAGTATAACAAAAACTATTGGCCCTTTATTTTGTGTAGATTGGAAACTATTGGCGTTCTTACAGACTGACAAAAGGATTTGGGGTTTGTAGAAACAGGATATTCTGCACGTAAATGTAAATATAAGAATAAAATAATAAATACGCAAGAGCTCGACTATCTGTAAAATAAGTTTCTTTTGAGTAATTCATAATAAATGATCTCTTGTTTTGAGGTCATAAAGACAATCTCTGTCAATTTTTCTGTATAGATGCAGGGATCTCCCAATTTATAATTAATTGGGAGCACTACAACAACATCTACAACAAAAATGGCCGTTAACAGGCAGAGCTCTGGGAGCCGAAACAGCCACTACACACCCATCGCTATCCTAGAGCTTAGCTCACGATGTGCCATTAGTTTTAACCGGGAATTTAATCTTGGCCCATGATCTGTTAGCAGTATATACTTGTTGTTGTTTTGATACAATTGCGTTCTACAAACACACACACGCATTATAGTTAAGCATTTTGTATTTAATTAATTAATTATCATTGTATTATTGCATTACAATTTAAAGACATTTATTTAAAAATTATACATTTTTTTGTTAAAATAATGAATAAAGATGCTTCTTTGAATTAGTGGGCATTTAAGCGCCGGTTGTGTGGACCTTAAACTTTCGACTCGTCAATTTCCCTATTTTGACTTGACTAAGTTATATCCGTACCCCCTCTTGACTAGTGCAATAAATATGAGTACATGTTGCACATATAGGACTAAGAATAAATACAACTCTTTTTGTACGTTGCACACATACTCGTATATTCCCAACAGTATTGCTCTTTAAGCTAGTGTTGTAATACTGTAAGCAATACATTGACATGTAATTGTTATAATTATATTAAGTTATGAATCAGATCAATTATTAACCAGATCGAAAGTAAATATCTTTAATTTTGTTTTTGATAAACTGTTAGCTGTGCTTGAGACACGTACAACCTACATTAAATAATCGTCGAAAAAATTTGTATGCTTTCGAGTGCAGTACATGTAATTGTTATAATTTAATTAAGTTATTAATTACATAAAAATTAAATATCTTTAAATTTTGGCTTTTGATAAACTGTTAGCTGTGCTTGAGACACGTACAACCTGCTTTACATATAATCGTCGTAATAATTTGTATGTTTTGAGTGCAGTACATGTAATTATTTTAATTATATTGTTATTTATCAGAGCAATTTAGCAAGTTAGATCGAAATTAAATCTTATTTAAATTGGTTTTCGATAAACCATTAGCGTACAACCTGCATTAAACAATCGTTGTAATAATGTGTATGCTTTTGTGTGCAGTACATATAATTATAATATTTATATTAAGTTATTAATTAGATAAAAATGAAATCTCTTTTAAATCTCTTTAGAACCAAAAAAGAATCTCGATCATGAGCACAAATTACAGTGGTGGCTTTAACTTTTTTTTTGAAACTTAACACAAGGACACAGCACGTATGTGCTATAATTATATTAAGTTCAAATGAGATGATATGGTCCGCCTAGTATTAGAAGTTCTATATTTTCTCCAACTTGCAATTTTGATTAATAAACCCACTTTAATATATGTACTTGCTTTCCGTCTATATCTGGCAGGTGGTAACCATGTCTCCCGCCCAGCATCAAGTAACGCCCAGCGGTGGGGCTAGCGGCCCTGTCGCAGCACAAGCTGAGAACGACTTTGAACTTGCCGCCAGCACTGGCGGCGATAAGTGGAAGGATGTGCCGGATCGATATTTTCTGTTCATTGCCCATTTTCTGGCCGGCAATGTCAACGATACGGAAGCTATGGACCGCTTCAATGGGCCCATATTGAAGGCGAGCATCAAATCGGTCTACTGGCTATTCCTCATTCAATATGCCGCTCTCGCGTTGCTTGGCGTCATTATGAACATCGTTATAATTGTGTATATACTCTATCATCGATTGTACAAGGATGTGACGCATGCGTTCATCATTAATCTGGCATTTTGTCATTTCGTCCAGTGCGCCCTAGTCTTACCGGTCTCCCTCATGGTCATGCTTATACAGAATTGGATATTCGGGCAGTTCCTATGCTTCTTTCTGCCCATGCTTCAGGTAAGACAGTACATACCCGATATTGGCAGAAACGTTAATTAAGGTGTGATCGATTGCAGAAATACAAGTATGAAAGCAATTCAAAGAATTAAGCTATACTATTTTGATTATAGTTCACAGCATGGTCGTGAACAAATGTATATATATTTGAATGCATATGATTAGCTTTTTATGGACGGGATGATAAGACGAGTCGATTAAGTCCGATCCGTCCGTCTGTATGAACACCTAGATCTCAGAGACTAGAAGAGCAAGAGGCGCCAAACCTTGCACACAGACAGCACACTGATGACTTATGTGTATATGCAATACAAGTGTATTTAAACATTTTACGCCTTCCCTCACTACTCAGCTACTAGTGTTTTTTCAAAGCTCCCAGAATTCTTGTATTTTTGAAAATGAAATTTGTATGAACTGTACCTCTTTCCCTACTATTCAAAATTTGTGAAGAGAATACAGATAAGAGGTAAGATTTCATGTGAAGGGAAATACTTACTCCTTCATACAAATAATGCAAATAAATATGTAGTAGAAATACCTACATCTTACAATTTTTCCTTGTTGTTATCGCCTCTGAAGTGGAACTACAAGTACTATATGTATGTCCTCAAACTGATTGATGGCTGAACAACTGCGTTGTTGTCACGCACAGATACATTTGACAAGTTAGTGAGTTGGCATTTTGTCTAATTTGTGTAACAATTTATATAAATTGGCATTATAATAATGTACTATAAGTGTAGCAGCTTGACAGCTGCCGGGCTCATACATCGAATCAAACTGAAGGTGCATACTTGTATAGTACTTGCATGAACTCGTGCATATATTTATGAAATGAGGAAGTGAGAAATGAAACTGGAGCATGTTTGTGATTTTAATTACTGATGGACATAATTATAGTTTATTACTTAGCTCTATTAAATATTTTGTTTATAAAAATGCAACTAAAATAACAATACAACTCATTCTTAATCTGGGAGCTTAGACAAACAATTGCTGGGCAATTATTCTACTGGTCACCGTTAAGAACACTGTCGGCAATTAATTAAATGGGAATTGTTTACAAGTCCTTGGTATCTTTTCATCAACAACTTGGAACATTTCTCCTAAGCATTCTTAATGCCTACCAGAATTAATTGTTTAAGGCCGCATATATACCCTTTACTGAAAAGCGTAAGGGTGCATTCTATTTGGTGTTTCAATTTGTAACACCTCTTAAGTGGAAATTTTAACCAATCTAAATGATAAAGTTCGTTAGTTTGTTTGTCTGTTTGAATCGATCGGCAGATCGGTCATAGCAGTCATGGAAACGGTATGATCTGAAAAGTAGTTATGTATAAGACTCGGGCTTGCTTGCAGGAAATGAAAGGTGTTCCAAGGCATCGGTTTATGGAGATAGGTCTGTCCGTATTAGCTTTCTAAGCTGTATTCGGTTGCAATTTAAAATCATAGCGCTATTAAAATATTACCCTTTTAATATACTTATTTATAACAATCGTTGGCCACAAGATACAAGCAGGGTTTGGGAGCTGCCGATATAATATAAATTGGTTAATAAATTAAATATATTGAGGGGGGGATTTTTGTTAGTTGTCTAATGGGTTGGATACAATTTATAACCAGGATATGAACATTAATTTGTACTGACGTGGGTACGTAGTTATGTCAAAGCTAAAAGAGCAGCGTTGGAAATTTGTTTGTGTGGAAAGCCGCAAGGATTTGTTCGCCGCTGCTGTTGACGCTGATAAACATCTAGCCAATATTTTGACTGGCTACTTACGAATACGACTACCACATAGTGTCAAATGCCATTGAGACTTGGGCCTAAGCTACAGCGCAGGCGAGAAGCAAACAAATTTGTTTCAATCATCGCACACGTCCAGCAGGAGCGACAGGACCAAAATCGGTCGGCCTAAGCTGGCAGGCATTTGCGCAAAGTAAGCAAACAGACGAGAGCTACGTATACATACATATGTATGTATGTATGTATGTATGTATGTATGTATGTATGTATGTATGTATGTATGTATGTATGTATGTATGTATGTATGTATGTACTTGTATGTATTTGTGGGGGTATGTGTGTGAGTGTGTGTGTAGTCGTATAAGCTTCGTGTCTTGTTTGACCCATTTGTCTTATTTTGTGGCTATTTTCTTTCTCTCCTCGCGCAGGACATACCGCTGCACGTTGCCATGATATCGCACATTCTCATTGCCTGGGATCGTATGCGCTGGCTGAATGATCCGCTCAGGGGTCGACTTCCGGGCTTTGTCTGTTGTTGCGCCACCTGGCTGACGGGCATGGTGATTGCCCTGCCGTATCCCATTTATACGATTTACGTGGAACTTGGGGTAAGTATGGAAACAAAAAAAAAAAAAAAAACAAAAAAAACACACACACACACACATCAAACACTACAGAGCGTTCGTGTTTGGCCAAGTACCTGCCTGTCATACCACCGAAAATTAAATTATGATACGATTTGATTACAACATTTGGGTCTCTACCCATTTACTGAGATGCTAGCATTTTGTTTTGGGCTTAGTAACGAATATGGAAATACTCTTATATAAAAAAGAATTAAATGTGTTCCTAAATAAACAGAATAGAAAATATTAAGGAGCAAGAGCAAGGTATTGGTACAGGGTAGAGCTGGAAAAACATCGATATATCGATGTTTGGGCAATATCGAAATCGAATCGGGTACTTTTTGAAAATTCGAAGGAGCAGGATGAAATATTTTAGTCCCAGTTTTTAAAATTTTTTTTTTTTTGATTTTAATATTTTTTTGTTATTAATGTAATAGTTTTAAAAGTAGTGGTGTTGGCAGTGAACGTGGATGTAGCGTGGACGCAAACAAAGAAAAAGGGAAAAGGAGCAGTGATGATTCATTTAATTCTGTAGTCAGGCAGATCATGGCCATCCACATAACACATGTAGGAGATTTTTAAAAAGCAATATCGGAAATAAGTTGGATTTTTTGAACAAAAATATCGATCTAACAAATAAAGGCTAAATCATTATAGTGTATTTGAAAACATCATTAGTATCGATGTTTTGGTTTTTAAATATCGAAAACATCGATCTTTGTGAACATCGGTGAACAGCTCTAGTACAGGGACAAATTGTATAAAAATTGTATAAATTACGTGATCAATGTTCATGTAGTTTTTGAGTTGTGCACAGTATTGGCAAAGTTCTGCAATTAGATGTAATCATATAAAAATTACAAAATAATGATTTGTATTTAATTTTATTCAACATTTGCAACATCAATCTCTGGTATTGGCAAAGACTAAATATTTTTATGAAAACATTTTTATAGCCTGTACCCAAGGGGTGAAAGGCTATACTAGTTTTGTGCGCATGTATGTAACACACAGAAGGAGGCGTGGCAGACCCCACAAAGTATATATATTCTTGATCAGGATGAGAAGCCGAGTCGATATAGCCTTGTCCGTCCGTCCGTCTGTCCGTATGAACGCAAGGATCTCAGAAAGTATAAGAGCTAGAATAACCAAACTTGGTTTCCATATTCTCCTAAGAACGAGAAATTACGAGTTTGAGTTTTTTTTCGATGCACCCCCCACTCCCCCGCAATTCGTGTTTTTTCTTATAACTTCCGTAATTCTCGGAATTTTGAAATCAATTTTGGTAGGTACATCCAGTTAGTACTAATGTGTCCGTATGCCAAATTTCATCATTATAGGTCAATTCTGAAGAAAGTTATAGCCATAAGTAAAATCGCTGCTCATGCGCTGCCTGCAGCTCTGTCGGCAGCGCTGCCCGCAGCTGTTGTTGTTGTTGCTGCTTTGGTTCAACTTTGTGCTGCATACATACACGCATATAAACACGCATAGGTACGTGATGTAAATGTATGCTGTTAAAACTGAACATAAACATGTATTCTAATTTAATTTAATTAATTAATTAATTCATTCAATTTTTTTAAAAATTTAATTTAAAAAAAGATTTTTTTTTTTTAATTTTTCTTTTTTGTGGAGAGTACAGGCTATTTTACTGTCGGGCTTGCTCGACTGTAGCGTTCTATCTTGTTTTACGTTGGTTTTTTTTACCCCAAAACTGGATAATAGGGGTTCCTTTTGGCTCTTCATGGCTGAGGATAAATATAAATGTTGTCCTTATTTCCCACGAAAAAGGCAAAATTACAACATGTTTTTTTTTCTTCAAAAACTTCAAAAATAATCATTAGCTTATGCGTTTTTTTGTGTAATAAAAAGTAAAATTTTCAAATCAAGCATACATAATCTTAAAATAATGATAATCGTATAATCCTCGCTGTCTCAAAGTTACTATGAGTGAATGATTTTTGCACTTAAAAAAACAAAATGATCATTATTTGCGGTTAGGAGGGACTATGTGCCCTGTTTGGATTAGCTTTTTCTACCGATTCATCCAGACAGTCGGGCAGACAGCCGGACATGTCTACGTCGATTTCTCCTATCATGCTTGTGGGAGCGATGAAGCTTCCTACACCTTTTCCACAGTTTTCACAAACATTTTCCACTCATTCCCTGAAGGTCAGGGTATAAACAAAAACTGCACCTACACAAGCAAATATTCATTTTTTGTTGAAGTTAAGGCACTAAAGCGAACACTGTGCTAGGTGTGTGTTCTCACTAATTGTATTTGTAACCGACTTCAAAAGAAGAAGGTTATCAATTCCATTGGTCAAGAGCTCAGAGAGAGATGAAACCTGCTCATGTTAGGGATTCCCCGATCTGCGGCTGAAGAACTTATCTCTGCCAATAGTGTTTCGGTCGTCAAGATAAAATTTTTTGCAATACACAACAATTAAATCGAAATGTCGACATTAGTGACACTGCATTTGGCGAGCAGGCCAGTCTTTTTATGACTGTCGCACTGCTTTTGGCACATACTGTATGTTCAAGGCGAGCTGCAAAGTGTGTTTGGTGCGTGATTCGTTGCCATAGCCGGGCTTAAGGCGCTGGCCATCCCCACACATTGCTTCCATCAAAATGAGCTGCTTGCGGGCTCAAAGCATAGATCAAAGCAAATGGGGTCCCCACACCCACGTCTAACGTATTCGTCTTCGTATGCAATTAATTAAATTTGCGTCTTAGCAACGGGCAATTCGTGGAAGTGTCTGTCTATTTGCATTTTCCAATTTGAATATTTGAACATATCTGATTAGTCAGTTTGCTAATATTCGCTACTGCATGGGAAAGGCACTGCGGCTGAACAATATCGACCTACTCTGATCTACAAATTTATGGCCAAGTTGCATATAGTATGTTGGGGCAATGTGTTGGCCATATCTGCATATGTTTGAGCCAGTTTCGAGCTCGTTAACATGCCTCGTCAACGCCGTTTGCATTTTCCAGCCAAAAGCTACCCAGCGACCCTACTACATTTTAGTGGAACACATAAATATTTATGGGCCATAAAGTGCTGCAACTTTCTGATACTCTCACATGTGTTGTGCTCGTGAAAAATCACCTGAGCTGTAATTTCCATAGTGCGGTCTTTGACAGAGGCCTGATAAAATTTGAATATTTTAATGCACTTCATGCACTGTGGATACGAGCTAAAGAGTTATCTTCGTATTATTTCTCCAAGTGCTTATACGAACGGATTAATGGAAAATTTTATAATTAATTAATTTTATAGACTTGCAGAGCGTGCACTTATAAGACATCTGTGTACAAAATTTGGTGGCTCTAGCTCTTAAAGTGTTTGAGATCTAGGGGTTCATACGGACGGACGGATATATCCTTTGTAAGGTCTGCCATGGCTACATTCTTATTGGCATTTGCAAAGTATTTAACGGGCAGCAGAAAGCGTCTACGACCCCCTAAATTATATATAAGTATATTCTTAATAACCATGGCGAAAGAAACCTAGACATGTCCGTCCGACTGGGTGATCGCCCGGTTTTCGGAAACGGCTAAGCGCACATTAACCAAACTTGGCTCATGCCTAGGCAATATTTTTTTTATTTCTCTTCCCCCTCTCTCTCTAGAACAGAACTTCGTCAATACTGTCCACATTTCTAAAGCTACATAAACCAAACTTAATGAAATCTATATTCAATTATCTACTTTTCTCTTTAATTTCATTCAAATCGGCCAATCGGTCGGGCTTGCTCGACAGTAGCGTTCTCTCTTGTTCACTTTGCACAAACCTAATATATTCTTGTAACTCTCAGGTACAGAGTATAAACATGTTATTTAGTTCACTGACTCGCTTTGCGTACAGTATGGTTGGCTTTTGTAATATTTATGTTGCTTTTGATTAATAATATTGATTAATTAGTTGGAGTATGTTGTATTAGGTTTGCCGATATTTCAATTAGTTCCACCACTGTTCAGGCTGTGGGGAGTGGAGGCGTTGGCCCAGGGGTTGCTATGGTTGGCTTTTGTCTGCCAAACGTGTCGCCTGTTGCCGTTCTCGTAAAGTTGGGAGTTCGTACTGCTAAGCATTTCCAGAGTCTAGAGATGTTTATGGCTGGTGAGGGTCGCCTCCGTCGTACGTGATGGGTGTGCGTGGGTGTGGGTGTGGATGTGGGTTGAAGGGTTTAGGAATTGAAGTATGCTGAGAAGGCGGGGGAGGGAGGGGAGGCTTGTGAGCTACGCCCAGTTGATTGAACCCTTAAGCAATTATTTGTGTGCTTCTTGTATTCACAAAATTTTCTAATTCCCTTCACATTTCACAACGACAATTTGTATAATTTATTTGGCAGTTCAGTGAATGTCTAGGCAACAGACGCGCCCATAAAACTGACGGCAACAAGTGCCGCACATATACTTATACAAACAAACACGCACACACACACACACAGACACACATACACACATACAGATCACCGTCATTGGCAACGATTTATAATATTTGGTCCAAAAGTCGATTATTGTTAGAGGAAGGAGCGTGTGTGTGTGCCTCGCCAAACTCAATCAGTCGTCAATAATGTCATTAATTCAATATTTGAGCATAATTTAATGCCGTTACTTTTAGCCAGCGGCAGCCTATTAAGCTGTGGCCTACACATATCCTTCTCACTCAGTTGTTGCTGTTGCCGTTGTTGTTTAGGCTCTTCTTTATGAATATTTCAGCATTATGCCCCGTCCTGTCCTGATGTTCTGATGTCCTGTTGTTCTGCTATCCTGTGCGTGTTGCAAGCCATGTCGCTCGGAATTTGGGCGGGCAGAGCAAATTGCTTTGACACACATAATTCCGAACGAACTTTGATTGCGTTGCGTTCCTTGCTGTGTTTTGTTCATGTCCTTGTTATGACTGTAGTTGTTGTTGTTGTTGTTGCTGTGCGACATGTGGTGCAAGTTCCTGAACTCTTGTCTATTTATATATGCAT